TCGAGATTCATTTGAAAAAATAACCCTTGTTTTGCATGTGATTGATGTGACAAAAATAAGGATGTTAGCAATGTCATTTGAACGTATTGAACTTTTTGTTTCAAAAGTGACGTACTGCTATTATTTTTATTTCGAAAGCAAAAATAACATATAAAAATCTCTATTATGTATTAATATTCTATAATAGAAAAAAGTAAAATAAAAATAAAAATAAAAGACAATGAAAAATAAGAAACTCAAAAGCTCGAGATTCATAAATGTTCCAACTTTTTTTTGTATGGCTTCTTCATCATAGTAACAACATAAATGATTTCACTTCATGTTTCATTCATGATTTTTTCAATATTTTTTTTAAAAATCTTGTTCCATAACATATAAAAGATGTTATATTCATGTAAACTAACTCAAAATCATTAATCGATAATTTTCATATGTACTAACACAAAAAAAAAAAACTCATAAATATCAAATTCATAGTTACAAAGTGTTGTAACATTTCAAATATATACAAATATTCATAAATATGAGAAGTGAGCTTATAATTACTTCCCTTGTACCGAGTATATATGAAATCTATCACCTATTATTGAATAATCAAACAAAATTTGACATATTTAAATAAAAAATAAATAATTTACTAACCTGCAGATGAAAATGCACCAAATCTTTTGGAAAAACGTAGTTGAAGGAGTTGTTGATTTGTAGTTTTGATCTATGACAAGAAATTCTGTGTTGAGTTTCGATTGTTGATAGCTTTGGGTGAGTTTGTGTCCTTCGTTTTGGATTTTTTCGAGTTTTTTTTTTGACGTAGAAATCCGCATCAGTTACCCGCCGCGGAGCCTCGACTACCCCAACGGGGCGGAGGCCCGACCACTGTGAGTGCATACTAGGTAAACACCGATCCATATGCAGTAGCCTGCAAACAACACAAGAGATGTAAACCACACTAGGCAAACCCGGTACGATGGGCTCGACCGAGGAAGTGTTGGTAGGAAACTCGAACTCGTGATATTTGATCTCCGCGTTCACCTGTTCCACCAACTCAGCCACCTCCGAAGAAATTTTTTCTTGAGTTTTTGTTTGATGGTTTGATGAACAATGTATAAAATAGTAAGTTGATGATTTAGTTTTCAATCCCATGTTTATACCGAGTTTTTAAATTGCCCCTGATTTTAGGAATATTTGTGTGAGTTGCCCTTCAAGCATTTATTTCCAATCTGGGACCCAATAGCTATTGGATCGCTGATGATGATTCGAAGGAAAATTGACTCGAGTAACCTAACAAAAGAGGTGTAGCAAATCCCAGTAAGGAGAATTTTTACGTTTATGTGTAATATTATTTTATTGATAAAATGTGAGATTGAAATGAAAAAAGAGAAAAAAAAATGAAAAAGAGAATGAGAAGAAAATGGGTGTGTAAACAACAAACAAATATTATTATCATACAGGCACAAAAGTTAGTGAAGAAATGATTCTTTGCAAGTTTTTTCAAGTAACATCACAATCAATGTTTTTATATATGCTATTTTTTTTACTGTACATTCAAAAAAATGTTGCAAAAGGAGAAGCCACAATTAGATAGTAGATGTAAGTTGTGTTGAAAAGTCCTACTGATTAATTGATTATAGACAAAAAAGTCAAAAGTTATAACATTGGTTTCCATGTGCATCTACAGACTTGTGTTTTTGCCTTTCTCTTGCAATACAAGAAGGCCATATGCTCCCACTTTTCTAAAGCTTAGATGTTGATGTTTTATTAAAGGTGGCAAACGGGCGTAGCTGTTTGTCGGTTCATCTAGACTCGATCAATTATCGTTCGAACTTGTTTTGAGATGAGCCATGGTTGAGTCGAGCTGAATTTTTTGGACTTGTTATATTAAATTTTTTAAGAAAAACGAGACGGTACAACAACTGGTCTAATGTGAAAATGAGTGTTTTGGACATGAAATAATAAGATAGATGCAAGTAACATTAATGTCCCCAGAAGCCAACAGGAAAATAATTATAATTGACAATGCCTTAGCAAACAAGGATGCATCATTTGGACAACTACACCCCGAAACGGGTCCCCATGTCATTTACATTTCATTATCATATTTTGGCTTTCAACTACTCTTTATCTACTCCATTTGTTTCCTTCTTCGTTGATGCATCCCTTTCTTCACATTCATATAATATAAATTTTCGTTAGAATATAAAAGTAATAATCAGAATATAAAAATTTGAATTATTTCTCCTAACAAAATTGACCTTTCAAGACGAAACCCGTATACTAAAATCAGAATGCTCAAACAAAGTTAGGTCCGAGATTGATATCTTAGACAAGTAATCATCTTTTATAAACTCGACTTTCATCTTCTATAATTTTTAGAAATTATAGCTTTCAAAATTGTCCAACCGGCAACCACTCTGAGAATTCCATACAAAAAGTGACATTTCAGCGCACATCAAGGTCAATTTTGAACAGTTAATTCTTTTAATTTTTGAACAATTCAGAATTCCAAAGGCTTCTCTGTTTTCCTTTTACTTTAGTGTTTGTTTGTCTCCCATTTTGGAAAAGGAAATAGAGTTTTGAATAATATTTTTTAGAAAATGTGTGGTTGAATAGTAAAGTAATTTTATCGGTTTGCGTGTAGAATATTTTATTGAGTGAATATGTGGTGGAAATTGTTTACTGTAGCAAACAATGTTTGATAAAATGGATGACAAAATATTATTATTATTATTTTTTTGTGCGGTTGAAGCATTCTTGCAGAATTTGACAACATTGTCCCTGTTTGACTATCGTTATTTTCAAACTTTTTTTTTATGCATTCATTTTCAATCATGTATTTGCACAATAAAATATTAAGTAAACCCAAAATTTTTTAATTACTTTTAATCACACATTTTTCTAAAAATCACTATTCAAAATCTTATTTTTCATAAATAATGATTGTCAAACAGTGCTAGATAGCGTTGAAAGTAAATAGCTTTTGTAATTTATAAGTTAACAATTCTTCGAATGTGTGGATAAAAAATTGATATAAAATATGAGTCCTGCAGAACGCGTGAATAAAATAGTGTTCGATCAACTTATGTTCAACAAAAAGCTTTATCAAGCATACTCTCGTCTGAAACTTAACTCAACGTTCACTAGTCTATTCTAACTTCCAACATGGTCGTGGAAATTAATTAGCGGGCTGATGTGCACATGCATGTGACATGTCACATCACACAGTATTCTTGTACCGAGAAATTATTCCTTGCTCTCATTATTGAAGCTTGTAGATTCACAATCATGCTACACGTATCGTGTCACGTGACACCACACTATTGGACAATTTTAAGAAAAAAAAATAGTTTTTTCACCAATCAAATCTTGTTAACAAGGGTGATGTCAAGTATGATGTATAAATGGATGCATATAACTCCTTTAAATTATGCATTTCACACCTAAGAGCCTGTTTGTCATCCATTTATGGATGACAAACAGGGGCTAAATAGCAAGCTTCAATGATAACTGTGAAACAACCTATTTTTTCACTAAATTAATAGTGCAAACATCGTAGCACTTCGTAAAGCTGTATTTGAATCGATCAATGTTAGTGAAGAATTCAATGATATTTTTCATTGAAGAACACTATACACGCACAGATTACCAGAACCCACAAATTTGATGTACCAAAAATAGGTACCAAATTCTTGGTTTTAATGTTTTGTCTCCTTGCCTTTGGAATCTAACAAGTGTTGAATGAAGGAACACAAGAAATTATTGAACTAACTCGTCAAAAATTATTGTGTTCAGATCTTGTTGTAGCTTAATTTTAAAAATTCTAGTATTAGTCATAAATATATCAAGCCTTTAATGAAATTTTGGAAGAAAAACGAATGTGTACATAAGAGAAACATGTTGACTAAATTAAACTCGTGTTGGCCGTATCCTTAAAATTCATTTTTTCCTAAAATTCGTTTTTCAACCATATATTATTCACTCAATAAAATAATTTTGCATGTGAACTCATAATAAGATATATATAAGTCAAATTCAGCCATTTATTTTAGCCACGATATCATGGGACCAAAAATTTTATTAAATTTTCAAATATATATTTCATCAACTTTTATCAAAACGAAACAGAGCGTAGTCAATCTTCAAACTATTGCATTCTTGGCTAAACTTAAGTTACAATTCAATTATTTATTGATCATTGTTAAAAATAAGTGCTTATAAAGTAATTTAATTCTCAAGCTTAATTTACCAAACATTGCACATGTAATCTATTGGTAGTTGGTACTAATTGGACTCAAATTCATTTTAGTACTACATGATCTTCTTTGACTAAGTTCCTTTTTGGGATGCAATTGTAGAATTAGGAGTCTAATAAAGTTATATAGTAGTACATTTTTTTCTCGAAGAAGTAAAAGAACAAAAGAGGGAGTATGATGTAACCCTAAAAATCATATTATTTATATTTGAAGAGACTTAGGAAAGGGGGAAAGCAGCAGGGGTTTCTGCAAAGAGTGTGAGAGTTGTTGGGTGTTACTGGGTTTGGGAAATGTGGAAGACAGTAAGTGAAAGCCTGCAAGAGAATCTGTGCTCTAAACATGGCAAGGCATAGGAAGTGACCATCTAAGTACACTCTTCTAACCCCAACCCCCCCACTAACCCATCTCTGAATTTTGTGTATTTGGCACTGCAGAGTGCATACATTTGCATATCTGTACTTGAAATATAGTTTTGCCGGCACCATTTTTGAACCCCTAAACCTACCAGATCACCAACAGACACACACACACTTCACAGAGTCCATATTCGGGTTGTCTGTAAAAACTGAAAAGTGTAGTCTATAGGGGTATGGTTCTCCTAGTCTTGCCTGGAATTTATTCTTGTTGCATGGGGCATGAGAATTTACAGTCTGGCTGGGGATGAAGACTTGAAATAGAATTTGGCTAACAACCCATAAAATAAACTGCAAGAATTTCATCTTTATTCAAGATTTCTTCTTCTCGTTCTTGTTAATGGAGTTTTGCTGGAAGATTACAAGACAGAGGTTTATGGGCAAATTCAGATTCCCTCTTCAGCTTCTTATTTGCTGCTGCTTTTTCTTCTTCTGCTATTCTTGTCTGCGTGGAATTTACGGTGCCAAAAACCAGGAACCTCCTTTAGGTAATTGATGAACAATATTTGTTTCTTCATAAAGTTCTTAAACCAAAATTGAAAAAATTATCCAATTTGTCAAGAATTCCTCCCCAATTTGGTGTTTGTTTTGCAGGAACTAGTCGTGTGTTGCCTCATGAAGCTGATATTTACTTGCAGGTAAGTGTTATTGCATATTTAGATCTACACGTATTAGTCATATGTGTAGGTTTCGTCTCACACACACACACTTGATTTTGAACTGAATTTTGTTTTTAATACTGGAACGACGCAAGCCTCGTACTCAAGTCATTATATTATACACACTATTTGCTCTGGAAGAATCTATGCTCATCTTACTCATCACAAATTTCTATCGCATTTCTAGAATTTGAATCCATGACTTTTGTCATAATGCACTTAAGTCTAATTCTGATATCAATTGGGGATGTGATAGAAATTTGTGAAGAGTAAGATAAATAACAGTTCCCCTAAATTGTACATTATGTTTGATATAACGACTTGAGCATGTAAGTCTAATCCTCAACATCTCTAGCTAATTATGTAAAATAGTTAAATTGTCTTAGGTCAAAATAAATTAACATACAATTTTGCATTTTTCTTTTACAAAGGCTCCACAATTTGGATCAAACCCTACTAGCACTGTAAAAAATTGGTGTTTGTCGTTTACAAACGAGTCCAGTGTAGACTTCGATCAGCGTAATGAGAATAGCCAAGTTTTCTGCAGCACCCTCGTGAACCCTGGTCCCTTTATAGCGCACATTAGCAAATATCTTCTATAGTTGAACTGTGTGACCTGTTTCTTTTTCATTTTCCTAATCAATTTTTTACATCTGAATTGACTGGTAGGAGAAGACTTTACATGAAAATAATAATTGGGAGATAGCTAAAGTGAGCATGGGTGGGTCTAGAAGGCTATTGGGTGGGCCGGGATCATCGCCACCGCGTTGCACGTCCAAATGTGGTAGATGTACGCCGTGCAAACCGGTTCACGTGCCAGTGCCGCCTGGAACACCGGTGACTACCGAGTACTACCCGGAGGCGTGGAGGTGCAAATGTGGCAACAAGTTATACTTGCCCTAATTCTTGAATGCATCAAATGCCCATCTTCCATCCAATTTGAAATTCAGTTAATTACTTGCTATTTAGTGTAATTATCCATCGTGACAGCACGTATTAGCATACATATTGGCGTAATTAAATTCGAATTATACTTCACACTATATATTAGTTAACACTCACGACACGACATTGGACTTTCAATTACGATAATTTCGTGGTTGAATATATTCAAAGACGAGAATCTATTAGTCTATAATTCATTAAGCCTTTGTTTGAGCGTTATTTTTGGGGTTAATAGTGATTTTTTTGGATAGTGCGTGGTTGAAAAGTCGTGTTTAAAATTATTTTACTAGAATAATGAGTCGTTGAAATTGAATTTGAAAAAAAAAAAAAAAAAAGAGGTTAATCCACTGCAGGACCCGTCTTCCATCGGGCTTTTGACGTATGGAAACCGACCCGTAATTTTCTTGTTTCGTTTTCTTCACTCTCTCTCTATTCGGCATCGTTGTTTTTCTGTCAATTTCTTATCATCTATCAAATTTGAAACGTATTATAAATGCCCAATTTTGAATTATTATCATCAATCAAAATTATACATATTTAATTATTTTATTTTATTTGATATCAATATCTATAATATATTAAATATCATATTAAATGGGAATTATTTTTTGGAGGATTCTAATTCAATTATTTCAATAATATCTTACTTTTTATTTTTTGGTATGTATTTAATTTATTCTAATTATTTAGTTACTACTAGTGTACATGTACATTTGACAGATTCGTTTTCACGTTCGATTGTGCATTTCATTATTTACGTCTATGTATGCTAATTAACAATTGATATTAAATATCACATCAAGTAAAAAATATTTTTTGGACGACTTTAACCCTATTATAATTCAATTATTTTAATAATACCTTACTTTTTATTTTTTTAATATGAATTTAATTTATTTAACAATGTAGTTACCATCAATGTATATGTACATTTAACAAATTTATTTCATTTGTGTGTTTTCATTAACGTACGAATTCTCTATTATCGATTCTCAATTAATTAACATTTATATTCATTTAATTAATATTGATCTTCAATGTAATTAATTCTACTTATAAGTTAATTGAAATTTCAAATTCAAAAATACATTTCATTATTCACGTCTATGTATGATAACGAACATCCAGTTTTATTTAATTGAAAATTCAATAAGTAATTTAACATTCATTGTCACGTTTATATTCCATGATATTAATTCTAAATTAATTAACATTCAAGCATATTCAAATAGTACTTTTACAATACTTATAAAACATTTCATAATAACGTGCAATGTACGTTCAACGTCGACTAATGTTCGTAAATATTATAACATGCCTACAAAATAATAGTCAGAGTGAGATGAATTAATAATTTTATATAAAAATTACAAAATCAGCCTCGAAGTTGGGCGAAAAACTTATGGAGATACAATCAAGCCAATACGACGTGGCCAGATAAAAAATAGTAACAAATGAAGCAAGATCATGATCCACTTCGTTCTCACCACAAGAAACTAAGCAACAAGAACAAACTTTTACTTATTTCAAAAGAGCTGTAATGTAACTTAAAACTAGTGTAATTATAAATAATGAATATTCACATTGTAAGCTTGCGATGAAATGCAGTGAATCACATTCAGCTCCGTTTATGCAAAGATCAAGTTTTTTTTGACCATAGTAAGTCCATGTCGAATGACTGAGTGCCTCTCCATCCTCGACAAACTCTTCCCTCAGTCGAGCTCCATTTGCCTTGTCATGATCAAGTATCACAACCCCTAATTCATATTGGTTGTCCTACATGTACATCACAACTTATGAATTTGTATATCAATAGATGATATAACCAGATATGATTAAATCAAAATTTAAATAAGGCACTGTTTGGACGCAATTATGAGAAAATTTTAATAAATAAATCGATCGTTATACAGTGCGCAGGGCCCCACTTTGGCAGCCTTGTCTGACTTTGGTATATGCTGTGAATAAAAAAAGCCAATGAAAAGATCATAATGCCCCTAATTGGTTGCAATCAATTTTTTGGACAATTTTGACATTTCAAACTTCAAAAAGTCAGCTGCCATTGGATTTTTCAAATATTGCGGCTCCACCAACTTTTCACTACTGTTGCAACGTTCACATTTTCCATTAAAATGGGGAATTAATTGCTCCCAAATAGGCGCTAACTAAAAAAAAAAAAAGTTCCCCCACTTTATTTTTGCCACCTCACCAAGAATTTGTAAATGATGTACACAAGCATTTTTCAACTCGTCTACAAAGAATTTTTTTTTATTTAAATCAATATTTAAAATGCTAGACACTAATAAAAATTATTTTTATGTTTGGTTGAAGAAATCTGATCCAATCATATCTCACCACATCATGTATATGCAAATTATTATATAAATCATTATGTATATGTAACACAACTGAAAATTCAATAAATAAACCGCTCAAAGTGACCCTCTTGGGGTATAGCTCAGTGGTGCAAATGACAAGGATGAGATAGTCTCAGTTGAGCTGACAACCATAGTGTAAGGGTTCGATTCCTGCCTCTTAAAAGGTATGTAATTGAACTATTTGTGGGCACCAGTATGACAGCTCTTGTACCCTGGTCTGTTGAGACACATCCCACGATTTACCACCTCCACAATGCTATGGGGGAGGAGCGATTGGGTGCCCTCAATGTTGGGATTCAACCTTTTTTTATAAACTGTCCAAAGTGCAACTCTATGAAGCAGCCGTCCTGCGCCACCCTAAAATAGTAAAATAATCTTTTTTTAAAAAAAGGTACAACACGCTTTGAGAAATAAATTTCTTTTAATTTAATTTTTAAATAAAAAATGTTTAAACAAACACTAAAAAGCAAGATTTTAGGAAATAATTCAATTCCTGCTTATAATCTGGGCCACTCTTGAAAAACCGAAAATAGACAGCATTTTAAAGCAATCATTTGATTCATTTCCTCAATTTTCTCGTAATAACACTTCTTTAGTTTCGATCTCTGGGCGTGCCGGAGATCGAACAGGTTTGGCCGCGCCGCTGTCCGTTTTCATGGCTTTCGGGTCGGAAAATTCTTTGTTTAACAAATACGAGCTCGGAAAATTACTGGGCTGCGGTGCATTTGCCAAAGTTTATCATGCTAGAGATCTCAGAGATGGCCAAAGTGTAGCCATCAAAGTGATCAACAAAAAGAGGCTGAGCATTAATCTCATGGGGAATATCAAGCGGGAGATTTCGATTATGCATAGGTTGAATCACCTGCATATTGTGAAGCTATATGAAGTTCTGGCAACGAAAACTAAGATTTATTTTGTTTTGGAATTTGTTAAAGGAGGTGAATTATTTGCGAAAGTGGCGAAAGGCCGTTTCGGCGAAGATCTCAGCCGTATTTATTTTCAACAGCTGATCTCCGCCTTGAGTTACTGCCATTCACTCGGCGTTTACCACCGCGATTTGAAGCCGGAAAATCTGTTACTAGACGAAAATGGTGATTTGAAAGTCACCGATTTCGGACTCTGCGCCGTCACTGAACAGATCCATCCAGACGGGCTTCTACACACGATATGTGGAACTCCAGCTTATGTAGCGCCGGAAATTTTGGCCAAAAAAGGCTACGACGGTGCCAAAATTGATGTGTGGTCTTCCGGCGTAATCCTGTTCGTGCTCACTGCCGGTTTTTTGCCGTTCAACGATCCGAATTTGATGAATATGTACCGGAAGATTTACAAAGGCGAATTCCGGTGCCCGAAATGGATGTCATCGGATCTAAAACGGTTTTTGTCTCGAGTTTTGGATACAAATCCCATGACGAGAATTACCATCAATGAAATCAAGCGTGATCCTTGGTTCAAAAAGGGCTACAAAGAAATCAAATATTCCCAAATTGATAAGAATATGGATACTCTAAAAGATGAGGACAAAAAACTGTTGGATTTAAACGCATTTGATATAATTTCATTCTCCTCAGGGCTGGATCTTTTAGGATTGTTCGATCATTCGCACAGCGCGGTAGGGGATGTGGAGCGGCTGACGGTGACGGAGCCGCCGGATAAAGTCATCGAGAAGGTGGAGGAGGTGGTGAAGGGGGAGAAGAAAAATATTGTTATATTGAGGAGAAAAAAGGAATTTGGAGTGGAGCTAGAGGGGCAGAATGGGAAATTCGTCATTGGTGTGGAGGTTTACCGTTTGACCGACAGTTTGGCACTTGTGGAGGTGAAAAAGATAGCTGGAGATGCAACGGGGTTCACCGAGTTATGGAAGAAGAAAATTAGGCCGGTCATTTTGCCTCAACAGGAGCAGCAGGTTCCCGGTAATTAGGTTTTCTTGGTGAATTTTGTTTTTTCATTTTTAATTTAATTTATGGTGATTGCAAAAATATTGTCTTGTGTAAAGAAATTAAAAAAAATACGATAACTTCTTTTATACAAGGAAATACAATAAAATAATATTCATAATGTAAAGCTGGGTTTTAAAAATATTTACCTGGATTGTTTGTTGTAATCCATTCTGCTCACTTTATGGGTTTTTTTCCTGAAAAAGAATTGTGGTATATGTGTAAATAAATGTAATATAAAGCAATTGAGTTAATTTGCTCTCCAATAGTCACCAGTTTGAGTTCTCTCAAGATCACTGAGGTGAGTACCTGATCGTAAATTTTATGGCTTCATGAGATTAGTCGAGGTGCGCGCAAACTGACCCAAACATCCACGATTATAAAAAAAAAAAAACAATTGAGTTGGAAATAGAGTGGATCAATTATTTTTTAATTCTTTTGGGAATCTAGAACGATCAAGTTTAAATTATCAAAAATAAACAGATCAATCTTTAAATTTTTTAGTACGAAAGTTTACTTTCGGGTTAAACGACTAATTTGATCTTATTAGAAGTCATGTGAAATGTAAGACCATTATTTTCCCACGTCTTTATGCAGTTTTACATCTCTATATGACGAGAGACGGAGTTATAGGTTTTTTGGGGGTTAAAATTTAAAAATAATTTCCAATATAACATAATTATTATTTTTTCTCTCTTTGCAAGAAGTTGATTATGTGTCATTTTAGGTTTCATGCAATAAAATGAGAAAAAAAAAAACTAAGAGTGTGTTTGGAATACATTCTTTTGAAAGAATGTATTATTAAATAGTAGATTGATGGAGAATGTGTGGTTAAAAATAAAGGAAAAGTTATTAATGTGATGAAAAATATTATTTTATTGAAGAATGTATGGTTAAAAATGAGTAAAAAAATGAGAATAAAAAAAATAATGTGTACCAAACAGGATCCTAATTAGAAACATATATAAGGTAACAAACAAAACAGTGTTACAAAAATATTATTATAAATTACAAGTTTGTGTAGTAGATTTTGCTACCACTAATTTTTTTTTTTTTTTTTTCAAAAATTCATTTTCAATTGTATATTTCATGGAACCCACAATTTTAAATCAACTTTTTAATCATATATTTTATCAAAAAAATCTACTAAAATAAGGGTCCTCAATCTTTGTCAAGTATAGCACTTGAATCCCCAACTTACGAAACGTGGCACATAAGGGTCCAACCTTTTATAAAGTGTGCGCGCGTGGTCTCAAATAACGGTAAAAAAGTCATTTTAGAAAGGGAATTCACACATTTTGTCTCTAATGATGATTTATGTCTAAAAGGTTCCTTACCTAAGATCTCTTTTTCCCATTCACATAGAGCGACAAAATAGTGTCACATACTGCACACGAGACATCCAAAGATCTCTTTTTCCTATTCACACATGGGGCTCTCGAGGTTACTTATTCACCCATCTAACACGCTCACAATAAAAATAAATAATTAACTACAAGATTATAATGACAAATGTATGTACGTAGATGTTATGACGCTCAATTAGAGTATAAACTACACACAACTTATGGCAATAATGTTAGGGTGCATGGCCCCCTTTTTTGAGCCCAATTCTTTAAAAAACTCATTTTTTCAAACTCATTTTCAATTACACATTTTCTAAATAAAATAATTTTGTACATAAATT